ATAACAGCTGCAGTATGCATAGATGAGTAAAAAAATTCTTCTTGAGAAATTATTGCATACATTTATAAGTATTTAAATCGAAAAGAACAAAATAAGTTGATTGTTTCTATTTACAGGTTTTAAAATAAAGCTCAACGCTGAAATTTTGCTTTAAACTTGTAAATAATATACACGTAGTAATGTTTCAGCAAAAGTTATTTTTTTGCAATTATATTCTAATAATTTGATAATGGCCCCACAACCCAAAAAAAATTGCAAGGATGATCTTGGTATACTGAAACATTAGTACAATTTATTTCAATTTTCTATTAGAACATAAAATTATTTACAATATGTCATCAAATGTGCACCGTCGATAATTTAAACAATATTAAACCTAAACTAAAAGTATGTTTTTAACCAATCTCTGTGTACTTTTGTACATGAATTGAATCTTAATTTTATTGAAGGTAAAAGTATACTATTAAATATAGGCAGCAGATATTAAAAATCAATAAAAAAATAAAAATGTTATGAATAGATTTCAGTAATTCATGTTTCAACTTAATTCTTTATTTTAAAGTTAATTATTGTAGTACGTAATTCTTAAAACTAGATTTATTTATGTTTACACCTAAATAGCGACTTTATCTCATCACACTGTATATTGCTTTAAGGAAACTAAAAGTCAATCTCGTTCAATTTTTTTACTTGATTGTTTTCAGATGAGGTGTCTGTCTTTAGGGACCCTAAAGGCTCATTAACTCGCAACGACAAATGTTTTTTGGCTTGTTTTACAAGAGAATCGGGAATCGTAAGATTTACAAAAAAGGTATAAATATCAGAAACAAAAAATTATTTTCATGTATTTGTTTGCAGAAACTAGAGGGAGATAAAATTGTTGATAAGTTTGGATATTCGGATATAATAGAACGGGAAGATCCTGACTACTACAAAATGTCCTTAAGCATTGTGAAGGAATGCAACGAAGAAGGTTAGTTAAAATATCGTTTTTGAGCAACGAAAGATTTATTTTTTGGTGCTTATCTATGCATGGTATATTAATTACTCATTTATCAATGCGTTAATATACCCATAAGATTCTGTTCATCGTTTTTATTAATTTACTGTTGCTTTAAATATTATAAATATATTTGCAGTTCCTAAAATGGATGACGAATGCGAATATAGTGGTTTACTTTACAAATGTCACATGGAAAAAGCGGAACAAGTAAGTATTATTAATTATATAATTTATATTTATACGTCAAATTAATAAAGAACATTAAGTTCTTAATCAATCATTTATCCAAACATGGATCGCGATTTCGAGCTTATTAGTCCTTATCAGAAGGTTTTAGACAGTTTCGGTAAATTACCAATCAAATGAAAATGAATTAATGTCAAACAATAGGTAGTACATCGCCATCTAGTTATATTATATGGTATTCCTTTTATCGCAACTGTCTATAGCGTACGGGTGAAGACTAATACGTCCGAAACTGTGATCCACATACTAACTATGAATTCAATGTTCTTTATTATCATTTATTTCTTTAATTTGATTAAATAATTGTACTACACTTTCAATTTATAAAAAAGGTGTCTAATTGCGGTACTTTTTGTTTCAGAAAAGTGTGGAGATACCCACGTTCTCTTAAAAAAAGTGAGAAACAGCTAACTCGATGCAATGATTTTGTAATGTACCTAATTATACAAAAATGTATTGTACATATGCATGAAAAATAAAAAATAAGCAATATTTTTATGATCTACATATGCCTTTATTTTTAAATCAGAGAAAACGTTTTGCACAGTTCAAAATCCACTTATACAAACTTTATTTTATATATACTATAGAAGCTGTTAAAAAAACTTTTCCTTAATAAAATGAAAAGAAAAAATTTTCAAGGACATTGAAACCCTAACATGGTACTAAACTCTATGGAAACATTAATTTATTTATGCTACTTAAATCTTAAGACCAAGTTCAATTTAGTATCTGTATAATATTTTAGAAATTCATTTATTTTTAATAATCTCATACAAAGTGGCTAATTTCAATTAAAAAGCCATTAATAAACTTTCAACTACAAAAAACTTTGAATTAAAGAAAATATACTTTTTTTAAAATTATGATGATTAGGTAACTGCTTGACCTGAAATAACTAACGTGGAATCAATGAAATAATTTTGTAACTACAAATTGTCTTTTCTATCCTGATAATATATAGTGCACTTTTCTCTTTTGCATTTACATTAGTGTAGTCTAGGTGCAGCTCGCTCTTCTTAAAAACCGAGCGGCATGGCCTAGAGGTCTAGACCATTGCTTAGCATTCGGGAGGACGCCGGTTCGATTCCGGGTCCGTCTGCCTTGGTCCAAGTTTTTCTGTGGTTTCCTTGGATCACTTAGGCAAATGCTGAGG